TGGAGTGGGAAAATGAGGGGGGGGCTTACTGGGGATGCCATTTGATCTTAAGCGGTTCTTCTGAAGGGATAGAGAAGTCAGGAAGTCTATTAAACAGGGACATGCACCCACAGTATATATTTAAGTGTCCTCCGCTTAGCTGTCTGACACATATCAAAGGGACGTCTATGTTTGCAGGTCCATGTGTATCCAGAGCATGTCAAAGGTCATGTGAAGGCCGTGCAGTCCACACTGTTCCTGTTCAATGCTGACGTGAACACAGGTTTAATCACAGGATACAGGATTCAGGAAGACAGCAAAACACAGGTATATTTATATATGTTATTATAAAACGCAGGGCACAGGATTCAGGAAGACAGCAAAACACAGGTACATATACATATCATTTCCTGTATAGTGCTGTGTATATCAGTATGATAAAACACTGTACAGGATCCAGGTAAATGGCAAAGCACTGGTATGTGTAGGACTTTTCACTGGACTCCCTGAGTTTACGGAGTCAAGTATGTAAGTGAGACATTTCAGTGAGTATAAATTACGAGAAGGAAGCTAAGCACATATTGCATTTACCAGTGTGGAAATCAGAATTTGCATATTCCATTTTCAGTATATTCGAAAAAAAAAATTGAACAATTATGTCAACCTGTATGTTAAGTGTAGTTTTTTATCAAATTTTTTAACATAATAAGCATGACTTGATGCCCCCACATGTTTCAGTCTCTACATGCTGTGGAGCTTTGGACAATCAACCTCCCCAAGGAAACACAGACCATCACAAATGTGGTCGGAAAAAGACCCACTGAACATGTCCATTCCCCCGGGAAACCCCTCGCGGACAGGAGCGTGTTGTACAAGTATCTTAATCCTAACCTGGTCGCCATAACTGCTGAGGGAGAGACAGAAGATAGCCAGCAAAAGGGTGGGACACATATTTTTGAACTCTTACATCATTTTACTTTGGTTGGTATTTAAAACTTTACCATGCCTCTATTTTAATTGTTTATGGAACGCTTAAGGCAGTAAATGCAACAACAAAAATAAAGATATAATGATAATCAAGTAAGATTAATTAAAAACGACTGTGTTAAATCCACTGCAATTTTTTTTCCCGACATTACAGAAAATTTCCAGAAAGTTTTTAAATCTCTATGGATAATTCTCATTTACTGCAAAGTTGAACAGTTTATTGTCTTAAATCCCCCTCAGAAATCTTCCACTCAGTGAATGCCTTGAAATATCTGCAATATATGTGTATAATTGTATGGCTCTTTTCAGTTTCTGGTGTATTGAATATTTACCTGGTGGACAGTGTGACAGGTGACATGATATTCCAGGCCAGTCATAAGAAAGCCAGGGGTCCTGTACATCTAGTCCATACAGAGAACTGGGTTGTGGTGAGTGTAGAAAGTATTGTGACATCTCTCTTAGCCAACACAATTAGTAAGTATGCTTAGTGTAGAAAACATAGATACTAAACTAAACTATCACATCGACAGAGTTCAGTTTCATCTTGTCCTTGCTGCAGATACATCACTAAATGTTGTGTCTATTTTTTACCACCTTGTTGAATTTTAATCACATTTTACTGTCAGATGCCAAATAAATTTATGTCAAATTTATTGAATGAATCTTAGCCATCAGAATTTTAAAATAAAATTTCCATAAAGAAAAATAGATTAAACATCAGGAATTAAGACTGAGTTAATTATAGATATTATCATTATTATCAAAAAGATAGAAAAAACAGCAGATCACTCAACTTGAAGATATTTACATAGTCTTCTGAATCATTACTAAAAGTAAAATTCTATAGCTTTTAGTTTACACAAAGTAGCCCTAATGATTACATTAATAAATAGTCCAAACTTATTTATCTTGAAAAAAGACAAATCATGCACCACCATTTTCATACAAATTTTGCTTTCAGTACAACTACTGGAATGAAAAGAACCGTAGAAATGAGATCACAGTGGTAGAGCTGTACGAGGGGACATCCCAAACCAACGCCACAGTGTTCTCCTCCCTCCACCCTCCTCCGCCACCTATAGTGGGCCGCCAGTCCTACATCTTGCCTCATGGGATATCTGCAATGGCGGACACCATCACAGAGATGGGTATCACTGCCAAGAGTGTGCTGTGTAAGTCTCTGCTGGCTTTATTTATTTAGTGTTTTTTATGCAAAATCCAGTAAAATTTGTGTACCTTAAATCCTTGCACACCATTAGGGCATTACTGGATATTTTCTTATTTTTTAAATTTATTTATTTATTTATCTGTCTTGTTATCTTGGCAGTGGTTAAGGGATGAAGGAGGAATATTTTTTATGAAGATCATTCTTGATGTCCTGCATCTTGTCATTTCATGCTATTATAACGTGATTTTATTCAGCAAAACTTTTTAAAAAAATTTAGTAAAGTTGAATGGGATTTTTAGAAATTATAGGAAATGGTTGCTCACATACTTCTTACAAAGATGTTAACTAGAACAACAGATGGCATCTTAAAGTCAAGTTGATCATGGTAAAATAAGACAAAGTTTGTTTAAGAACATGATTAAACTAAATATTCTTGTCTCCTTTTAGAGTGGATCATGATTAACAAAAGAGAAACTTTGTTTGATTTCAATAACAAAATGATATATATGTTTCTATTTCCAGTGGCCTTCACAACTGGCAATGTCGCGGAGGTGTCAAAGTTTATGTTAGATCCTAGGAGGCCTCTTAACCCAACCATGGCTGACAGGTAACGTGATAATCAATTACAGTTTCTGTCATTCCTGGGGAATTTTAAATTTTTAAATGTATGAAGGAGAGCACCTCTAAGTATATTACAGTTTTTCAGTCTTTACAAAGCAAAGAACTACTATTACAATACTACTCTCTGCATAACCCGTCACATAATGACTGTAATTTTCTTTTAGCTCACTTTCAAACAGATCTTTGGGAACTGACTTTTTTGGGTATACAGAAACATGACTTATATTGCCTAACTGCAATCATAATGTAACTTGAGGTCCCTGGTCCTCAAGTGTAGGAGCTATGCAAAGGTTTAACATATAAGTTCGATAAATGCTTGAGTTATGGTTATTACTTACTGTTAATTTTACAAACACTGTATTTTAAGTCATAATTTCTTAAATTTAGAACATTCCTATTGAGAAGTAGCAACAAAATCAAAAAGCAGGCTAGTGCTCTGTAGTACTATTCTTTGCTGTAAAAGCACCACAAGTGCTTATTAATATAATTTTTTTTGCAAAAGTTTGATAATTTTTGCCCATTGAAAAGATCAAGTAATTACTGTACCAATGATATGATTCAAATCACCTGTAATGTCCTACAAATTTCAGGGAGTCCAAGTAAGCCTAAAGCCCTCGTATCTCAAAAAAATCCATCAGCCGTCCAACCATCTTTGAAAATTTAGGCAGTCCAGTGATGCTGGCGGCCATCCAAATGACAGTTGGCAGTACGCTGGAAAACCCTTGATTCAAACTGTACGTTCTATATTTCCAGAGAAGAAGGCATCCCTCCTTACATCCCTGAACTCCTCGTGGCCTTCGAGGCCATGATAAACTATAATCAGACGGTGCTCAAAGTGCGTGGAATACAGACTGCCGCAGCGGGACTGGAGTCCACCAGTTTATCTCTGGTGTATGGCTTAGGTGAGTGATAGACCCCATTTCCAGAGATTAGATCGATCTACTTAAGATCGACCTAACTCCCCGGGGGTTCACGCTAAATAGCTGTCAGCCAAGCGGACACGAAAGTTAATTACCCCCTTACAGCATGTAGTAGGCGGGACGGACATTTAAGCCGGATTATCTGACAGTAATCTAGTGAGACTCCCCGCGGGGATAGATCGATCTAAAAGCTCTGGGAATACAGCCATAGGGTCAGACAGCACAGAGTAGCCTAGTAGACATTGCGTTAGGTGTGACAGAAATAGGCATGATGCAATAAGTTGGGATGGAGCACACCAAACAAAAGGACAAATGCTACTGTTGTTTTTGTTGCTATATTTGGAGAATAATGTTTTTTTTTATTTATTCTAACATTTTTTAATTGACAGAGATTGAATTTTACAGAATAATTTTGGTTACTGTAATTTTGCTTGCATTTACTTCGTTTTTTCATAACTTCGTCTTTTCATAACTTAAGAGTTACTTTTACACAAATGGACAAATACTATTGTTGTTTTTAAACTACTTGTTCCTTTGCTATATTTCGAGAAAAAAATTTGTTTTGTTTTTCAAGTATTTTTAAATGACAGAGGCTAAAATTTTCAGAATAATTTAGGAGAATGTACTTCTGACAGAATTTAAGGATATTTCATAAAACAAAAAATGTTTCATTTTTTCATAACTCTAGTGTTACTTTTACACACACTTTTATTTTTCAGATCTTTTCTTTACTCAAGTCACCCCATCCAGAAAATATGATGTTTTAAAAGAAGATTTTGACTATTTCTTTATCAGTGCAGTGTTAATAGGAATGATAGTTGTATCAGTTGTCTCACAGAAGTTAGCAGCAAGAAAAGCTCTGAACAGAGCCTGGACATAACATATGGTAGTAACATATTAGATGTAATTCCCTTTAGTGGCGACACTAGTGGGCTTGATTTAGTGCAATTTAAGAACACAAATAGTCTTACATGATCTTAAAACATGAGTAAGACCATTTCTAGTCTGACAGCCAATTAAGTTGTCTCCCCTCACACATTCTCCTATTGTGAGCAGAGGTGTCCTCTATTGTGAGGGGAGGAAACTGCTTGACCACTTGAGTAGATGTTAGATCATTTTTGATCTTAAAAGCAGATTCAGTCCATTTTAAGACTACTGCTGTAATGATTAAGATTGTGTAAGATCACTTGTGAACTTAAATTGCACTTTAAGACCAAATCTAAACCACTAGTGTGACAGGCTTGAGTCTCCGCTATTTAGAGGCTATTGTTTCTTTATGAAATATGAAAACAGTACCCTCTACCAGGGCGACTGAATGATTTTTACAGATATTCACAGATATGTCTCTAGCTAGATAGATGGTCATTTAAAGCTCAACTCACCCTGTTGAGGAATCTCAAGGCTGATTACGTGGCTGATAATTGTTTGCATAACTGCTCAGGCACTGCCAATTAGCAGGTCCAGTCTAAGTCTGCGTGACAGCAATCAAGACAGTTAATTACTCTGACTTCAATCACTTGCTTTACTGTGACAGATAAAAAAGCCTTAGACTGGTTGCGTACCGAGCAGTTCTCACATCATTGTGAAGCTCAGCTCATGCAGAACAAGTACAAAGCCTTTGGCGCGCGCGCAGAGATAATTGTTTCCACATGGGTTTCCTCAACAGGGTGAGTTGAGATTTAAATGACCATCTATCTAGCTAGAGACATCTGAATATCTGTAAAAAATCTATCACTCACCCTGGTAGAGAGTATGAAAACAGTATGGATATATTCAAACATTTTTGCAGCTTGTATAGATGTTGTATATACATACTGTTTCTGTTATTCATTGCAATTTGATATTAAAATTCAGGGCCCAGTTTTATAAGGGACGTTTAGCACTAACCAGTGTTTAACTCTAATTAAACTCTAAAAAATATATATATATATATATATATATATATATATATATATATATATATCCAGTAATGCCCTTATTGTGTGCAAGGATTTAAGGTACACAGATTTTACTGGATTTACAGATTTATCCACTAACCAGTGGATAAATTCTCCTAAACCCTGTCAACTAAACGACGGATGAAATTGTGTTTCATAAACAGTGTTTAAACAGTCCGTTAGTTAACTGACCTTTAAATAATTATTTTATCCAGTTTAACACTGACCAGTTTCCTAATTGGCTGTTTGAACATTGTATATGAAACGCGTTTTAACCGTCTTTTAGTGAATGGGTGTTAGGAGAATTTATCCACTGGTTAGGCTTATCCACTGGTTAGTGCTAAACGTCCTTTATAAAACTGGGCCCAGGTGTTGTAATTATTATTATTATTGTAAACATGTAATATATGTGTTGTATTTACATGGCTGTGTAGGAATATTCTGATTAATTATGAAAAAAATTGAATGTTGCATTTTAGGAGTGACACTAGTTGAAATAAGAGAAATTATATCCATGATATCTTTGAGCACAGTTTTGAAAATAATGTCAAAAGAAATCTAGTATTAGTTTCCAAGTCTAGATTTAACTACCAAGAATGTATTGTGCGGTTTATCTTACTGGTTAGGGCAAAAGATTATCATAGGAAATTTAAGAAGATTATCAGTGAGTTGAATGACAGTATGCATACTGGTGTAATGAAACTGTGGCTCCTGTAACAGAAAGTCCGCCCTCCATTTCAGGGATGGATTCATAGATATTTTCTGACAGTCTTCCAAATTATCTTTGTTGTTCCATTCTTCATATTTGACCGTCTTCCGACGGAAAAATTAGACACCCTTCAATGTAAACTTGAAGATCTGACCATCTTCCGGAAGACCCAGAAGACGGCCTAAATCCGCCCCTGCATTTAGTTATAATGCAAAGGGTTAGCCTGACCTAAGTGGGTCAAAAGCTAAGGTAAGGCTTACCTGTACAACTGAATGGGAAGAAGACTCTCTATCATGGGGAACCCCTTGACCGGGTTCCCATCCCTAGATCGTTCTAACAGGTTCGATCCATCTCCAGGGGATCCCTCTCCAAATTGCTTTCATCTCAAGCGGCTTAGATATTTGGGACGCCCACTAAAACCATTAAACGATAGTTAATTACCCCCTATCAGCTTCAGTAGACATCCAAGCCACTCACGTTACTTGCAATTTAGCTAGAATCCCCCTGGAGATAGTTTGATCCAAAGTTTGTACGATAGGGTCTGGGAATGGTCTCTCTGTCTCGTTACACCAGTGCAGCAGCACATTATAAACACACATGATTATATACTATCCTAAATCTATTAAGTTATAACACCTGGTTAATCTGGAACTGTGTGTAATCAATGAATGTTTTGTTAACTTATTTTATTAATTTAATAAGTTCAGGTTTTTTATTTAGGAGAGTCAGATGAAAATGTCGTGGGACTGAGTAGGTGGAGAGAGACAAAAAAAAGAAGAGAGAAATAAAGACTGAGAAAAGTTGACTCCTGTTGTTGCATTCCTTCTTCCGTGCCTCATCGACTAACGATATCATATAGAACAAGGGTAGAAGTTGCACCGATATATGCTGTCTGTCCTTGGAATCTGAAGCCTTCTCAAAGCTAACTGTATTTATGAACTAGAAAAGCACTCCGAGAGCGCAGACCTCCGCCAAGACAGCAAAGTCTTCATCCAATGCCGTTTCACCCATAAATATTCATTCTATAATGATTTAGTTTTTTTATATTTGATTGATTATTGATCCGGATCACCACCAAAATCTAATCATCTGTTCCTTGGCCCACTTCTGACAGTTCCTGAAAATTCATCAAAATCGGTCCACAACTTAGTTTTTTATTTTTGTTATTGGTTGATTATTGATCCAGATCACCACCAAAAACTAATCAGTTCTAAGTTAACCTATTTCTGACCTACTCTGAAAATTCCATCGAAATTCATGCATAACGTTTTGAGTTATGTTGATGACAAACAAACAAACAAATAGAGTGAAAACATAACCTCCTTGGCGGAGGTAAAAAGTCTGCAATATATAGCGCCGCCTGCCGAGACTTCACTTAACTGTTTTTCAATACCTTAAATACCTTATTGTCCCGTTGCCCCTCAAGACGAAAATTTCCTTCCTTCGCCGCTGCATACACTGCATCCAGGGGCGGATCCAGAGATATTTTCTGACAGTCTTCCAACTTATATATATTTGTTGATCCATCCTCTATTTTTGACCGTCTTCTATATGTGTGTGTGTGTGTGTGTGTGTGTGTGTGTGTCTGTGTGTGTGTGGTGTTTCGGCTTGCTGCTTGGAGAAGTTGCTTATAATTTGCATTTTCATGTACACTTGTGCTATTTGAAATAAGATCACATACTTGTAAATCGTCTTCTTTCAAAAGAAAAACAAAACAAAAGAAAAGAATTGTAACGCAAAAAAATGTTGCCATCTTTGCCTTTCTAGCATTAATTGACCTCAACTGTAAATTATTCCAAACTGAAAATATGTAAATTTCACTCAGTTGCAATTTCACCTGTTTCACTATCAAAAGAAACGCGATTACCTTTCCACAATTACGTAAATGGTAAAGGTTTACTCATGTGGTCAATGTGTTTTTCTAATTTCTAAAAAATAAACAAGTAAAAGAGTAACATAAACCAAGGACTTCCATCCTCGTTCTTGCATAAACTGACAATGTCACGTAAATATTTACTGCATGGATAGCGGTGATTTTATAAAGCTTTTGGCAGTGCACAGGTACAAGTTGGAGACGTTTGATTGGGTTGCTTACTGGTCCAGTTTGTATGCTCTGGTTTGTCCTTATATAGCCATAAAGAAGCACGTGTTTGAAGGCAAACGAATATGACGAAAACATGTTTGGCGAGGCTCTTTAAGGAGCTTTCACTAAAGCCGGTTGCAAACCGGTTATGAATCGCTTTTTTATATAAACTGTGTCCCTTTGTACATGTTTATCGAGCGTTCTAACAAAAGTGGTTTCGCAGCGGCGTTTTGGAACTGCACTACTGATAATAGAAGCAGTGTACAATATATTTAAGTTGATTGCTTGACTAGGGTATTCGGCCATTGGAATTGCATAATGAAATCAGCACCCATTTCACACCATTTCACACCAGGCCGAGTTGTGTGAAACTCCCCTAGAAAACCAGGACCTCAAGATCAGACCAGGAAGTAAAAATTGTCGAGAAATACATCGAGCTAATTAGGATTTGCTCAATGCGTAGAATGACTCTTCTGTAAGCAGCCAAAGATGAAATAACATGGACATAGTCCTATAAATATACGAATGCCCAAAGGTTGGTGCAAAGATCGAATACAATTCACTCATTGTTTTCACACACCTTCAATGGCGTAACAGTTCACATTAAAATGCACAAACCAGACTCTAAGATATGACCTTCGCGAAATTCACAAGTATGCAAACATGTAGAATTCCTTTCAGACAAGAGTCTACGCGTATGCTCGCAAATAGTAAAACAAAATTTGCTGCTACATATATTTTACAACGAAAAAGGGTTCACTGTTTCGAAAGTGGCACTTTACAGTCATAAAACGGCCAATTACACTAGTCGACTTATCTATATTTAACAACATTGTCTTTATAGGCCTACCATTAACCCACTCGCCCAATTCAAAGGAGAAAAACAAAAGTACATTTCTCTGGAGAAAACCATTTTATTCCTTGTTAAAACAGTTACGTTATTATCTTTGTAAGGTTTGAGTCCCTAATATGTTGTGTTAGTTGTGGTTGTGTTCGGTGTGTGTCGTTTGCGTCCGTGGATGGCACGGGTTTGAAGACCGCGCCCCATACACCATTTGCACTTGCACCTGAACGTCAGGCGGACGTTGCAGGCTGGAATAGTTGAAATCATTGTTCTAGTACTCTTTCAGATATTTGTATTAGAAAAAAGACAGTATCAAACCCGAGCTATCGTCCTGTTACATCTTGCTGTGCTGAGATAAACAGTTGGCGTATCTTCAAAATTTAGCGTGACAGATAGTCTTCCATAACAGAGAGTCTGC